CGACCCTAAATCTATGAAACTATGAAACTATGAAACATGCTTAAAACTCATTTTAGGTGTTAATGTGGGGACAATCCATGGGTTAAGAACTCCAGGGGCTGTTTAAAACTAACATATAACAAGCCTCTTGGAGAGATCTGGTATTCAGCACTTACTATGTCCTTTAAGGACACAAATATCTGATCCAGAGCATCCAGACAAGTCTATCTATTCTGGGGTGCTGCAACCTGCACCCGTTTCTGTTGATCAAGCAGCTACCAGAAAATCCTGTTCCCATCTGGCTTTCAAAGGCATAGGTATTATTTTCCATAGTTTTGAATGTATTATTGTATATACTATTTGGCATAATACTAATGTGCTAAATGTTCTCCCAGCCTGGTTACTGTTGGTGGAAAGTGCTAAAGATGCAGAATTGTAGAAATACGTGTAGATGAAACAGCTTTAAAGAGTATCAGCTCTAGTGTGCAACACAACTTATATTGATACCTACAGCCAGACAGGAGCATGCCAAAGAAGAATTAGGGGAAGAACAAAAATAATTTCAAAGAAGAAGAGCGTGCAGTAAAAATGTAAAATCAATAACAAAGAGACAAGGAGGAAAGACACATACCTGTGAGATGAGGAGCTGGCAGGCTGCAAGTTCCCTCTCACTGGCATTCATCTTCCTGTTGGAGTCTATTTGGGCACTCTCCAGTTGCTTGCTCCGGTTCACCAGCGATTTAACCTCAGATTTCATTTTGCTGATGTAGAGCCGTGCCATGGTGAACTCCTCCTCAATTACCCCATTCACATCTGCTAACTAAACAACACCAAGGGAAGCACTGCTTATTAAATGGTTATAAAAGAAAAAAACAGTGCAAAGGGCCCAGAGTGATGAATCAGTTGTCTAGAGTTACGTGACACATACCAGAACTCAAGTGATAGATTTAACAGTTTGGAGTTTTTCATATCCACATCCTGAAATGCTGAATTGCTCAAGTTCTCTGAATCTTGACTGACAAAAAGGAGTACCCAACAATTAAGCCTCATACTCTGGTTACAACCCATTAATTTGCAGGCTCAACATCAGGGATCCAGGTTTTCGTTTGCTGCAGAAAAATGCGGACTGTCTCCTTAAAGAGGGCTGGGCTAGGGATTAGGGGCTGTTTGGGGTGTGTGTGGGTGCACGTGTGCGTGGGGGGGGGATGGGGGTGCCTGCTGGCACTGAGGAAAGGAGTCCAGGCAGGGGGGCTGAGGCAGTGCTCAGTGTCACCAGCAAGCCCAGTTCCCCAGCGGAGGAAGAGGGCAGGAGGGTGGGGGTCCTTCAGGGGCAGCAGGGTGCTTCATGGCACAGGCAGTGGCTGGGACAACACACACTGCCCTACACCACCAGCTGCAGCTGGGGCTGGGGCATGGTGGGGAGGATCAGCACAGCAGCATGAAGCCCTGGCCCGGGACATGCTGTGGGCAGCTAAACGAGGAGGAGGAGCTCCAGGCAGTCTCTCTCTGGCCCGTCGGAGCTGCAGTGGCTCCTGCTTGTGCAGGTGGTGGCAGAGCAAGTCCAGCCCCAGCGCAGGCTGGAGGGAAGAGGAGAGGATGCCTGTGGCCCTGGGCTGGAGCTCCTGTGCTGTGCTATGCAGCCTGGCCATGGCCCCCCCTTACCTGGGCATCTCCTGGCTTCATGTGGCCACCTCTGCCACTAAGCACATGCATGAGCACTGGTCCCCAGTGGCCTGGCCACGCAGCTCCCTACCCCCCACCCCAAAGGACCCCCACCTCCGTCCTCTGCTGGAGTCCTTTGAGTCCATCTGAGGCCAAGAGGGGCAGGGGGCAGCTGAGGGCCCCCTCTGGCAGGGCTGGGGGCTGAGGGTTAGGAGTGAGGGGCACCAGAAGGGCCAGGGGACTGTGGGTCAGGAGTGAGGAGCACCAGCAGGGCTGGGGAGGCCATGGTTTGGGAGTGAGAAGCATCAGCATATCAGGGCTGCTCAGTGCCACAAAGCAGCAGAAGGGACAGGTACAGCTGGACCTGTGTCCTGGTGAATGAAGAAGGCATGGGAAGCTCTGATTTTTCATGATTAAGAAACCAAAATCAAATGCCAAAATATATAGGTATTTAGGATTTCTTTTATTATAATGACTGAGGCACTGGTAGGCTTCCAAAATTATTAAAATTGTAAATATATCAGTAAAATATTGTGTTCAACTTATCCCTGTATATATAGTGGCATTTCATTTTAATTGCAGGAAAATGTGGATTTTGGGGGGTTTTAATAAGGGAATTTGGGACTTTAAACAGAGAAAACCAGGATCCCTGCTCAACACTGAAGCTGGGAATAATTAAGAACACCAGATTTAATTGCAATGACCTGTTTTAGAGGAGCTTTCCTATGATATTATGATATTAGAACAACAGTGAACCTTCCCGTCTTTAATGAAGCCAAAGGCAAGGGAGCTTATCCATAGCATTCATGGGGGGAAAAACCCACCTTTATGAACCATTCTCCATCTGAGACCACTGGCAAGTGACAGCTTTGGCCTATAATTCTCACCTGAAAAGAAGTATATAAACCCCTTTTCTTCAAGGATCTATACTTCTAGGTAAGCACTTTTCTTCCCTATCTGTTCCAAGACTGTGTTGTATTCTTTTCTATATCTCCCTCGATTCTCTTTCTGATTCCCCTTCAGCTACCCACTGACAAGCAATATAGACTATGCAAGAGCAAATATGTGGGTCACAGCACCTCACAGGGCTTCACATTCCTCTCAGCATGGCCACTGAGAGGCTAAGCCCTTCCAATACCTTCTCACAAGAGCATAAAGAGGTCACCTGCCTCCAAAATCCAACTCATTCTGAAATTAAGACACATTCTGGAGAAGCTGCTAATTACCTCCTGGCTGAACTTCATAGTCTGTATCATTTTAAAGGTCCCTTCAATTGTGCCTTATTTGACCTGAAAGCTGTTGTGTAAAGCCATAGTATCTTACTTGATATAAAACCCTGAACAAAACAATAGGCTTCTATTTCCAAATACTTCTCTCTGAAAACTTCCTCTATAGGGTGGCCACCAGGGGTTGCTGTAACATCTAAATGAAAGATTCACTCTTATGCTAATACCACATTAAAAAGCATCCAAATAAAATCACACTAACTTGGGCAGAGTTCCCTCTGGCCTTGTATAAACCCTCTGAATATGAGGCTTATTGGTGGCTTGTATCAGCCACCAGCTGGAATGCAGTTTGTTGATTTAAAATATTGTCCTTTTAAAACACTGGCACATATTTGAAAGCACCTGTGGGTTGCTGGGATTATCACAGAAGTTAACAGCAATTGCCAACGTACATTCAGAACCGGGAATCTAATACACAGCAGAATTCCAGAAACCCTGTTTTCTCACTGTGTGTTAACCAAGGCATCCCTTATCCTGCATGGACTTTCATTCCCTTTCACGGTTTAGAACATCAAACTGTTCGTGGGCATGGAAATACAGAGACGTTATATGTCCTAGGAAACATACTGCCAAATGGAAAGGAGCAGGGTGCTCGCGAATGCCACCGAGTTTAGCAGGACATAATGGTGCTCAACAAGTCCCAGAACCAGTCCCAGGAGCAAATCATAGACAGGGTATTCAGCTGGATGTGCTTTTTAGCCTTTGAGGCATGGAAAGAGTTTCGAAAAGTAAGACAACATAACTAATATTCAAAAGTGAAGCCAAAAAGGAGAAAATTCACTGGCAAGGACATGTTACAGGGTAAATACAATATTCAAAACTCCTTGGAAATAGTGAGTCTTAAGCAAACTCACCAAGATGTTCTACCAACATTTAATTTCAAACAGGCAAACAGAAAACTTTTGCAATCAGTGCTGTTGGGGAAGCTGCAAGGCCATGCAATCAGCTAAAATGAACAGTTTACTTAACTGATACACAGTTTAGCCAACAGCATTAAAATGCATTTCCCACTAGTTGGAATTTACTTCAGCTGCAGGGAAAGGAAGCATAAGTGGAAAGCTGGGCCCCTATCTGCATTCAGTAGAGCAAGCCAGCAGGCAAATACCAAAGCACTGATTAGTTGAAGCTTTCAGGTATCACCAGAAACATTATATCCAGGTTTCTCCAAGGCAGTGGCAATTGTTAATTCTCACTTTTGTACACCAAAGGAGAGGGAATCATTTGCAGATCTGTCTCTATCCCTGACTATTGGCTCATGAAACTGTCATGCAGACATTTATGTGGCGACTAGCACAATTCAACAGCACTGGAAGGTGACAGCCTTAATAAGCCTGTGCCACTTATTACCTATAAGCTAGTGATCAATTTGGTCTTCATTGTTTCTGTGAAAAGCCATTGTACAGATAAGCATTTTTCCTTCACCTGCCTCTGTCCTGATCTGCTGGAGAGTTGTTAAAACAAATGTTTCATGAATATAAATGTTCCTCATAATAGATTTTGCCAAGCTGCATGTTGTTTTATGGTTTAGACAAATGTATACTAAAAAAAAAATAACACATTTTACATTTGGTGTTCCAAACAGGCATAACATTTTCATTTCAGAGGTAAAAAGCTTAGAATTTGATGCTCTACAACAACCCTTTACATTTTTACAAACCAAAAGTACTACAAAAGAGATGGCTTACTGTTTTCACATCATTGGTACCAATGATTCCCCCAATCTCTCCCAGATCTTTAAGCAGCAAATTCAATATTTCCGTAGCTCTTTTTTTCTGATGATTGCTCAGTTCCTGCAACTGACCCAGCTCTTTCTGGGTGGCTGTCAAAGCCGTCTGGAAAAGATCGAGAGACAAAGTTACCCTCCTGTCCTCCAATTCCTTTCAAATCAAACAACAGATACCATTTCCAAAAACTGATAACTGATTCTCGAAGTAGAAGGAACCTACCCATGCCACCTTTCTTACTTCAACAGCCAAAACAGGTTTTGACTGTTACATTCATGTTGTTACATTTATGTCTCCCCTTAAGCAGTAACATAACTGTCATGTCATTTTCCCCTGCTTCAGCAATGTTCGAGTGTCATTCCTTGGGTGCAGGCTGTCCAATTATGACTTTCAGATTACAAGATAATTTCTTTTAACCTTACCAGAATTCATGTAGAGTGTGACAGCCACATTTCATATTATTAAACATATTTGTACCTTTAGTCTTGAAGCATAGAATTCCTTTATATAATTCGTTTTTAAAAGACAGATCTTACTTCTTTGCTAACAAGGCTGCTTTAAGTTTCTTAAGTACATTAATCTAATTAAAGTGAGCCTTGTTAGTGTTATACATATTCAAGAATATTAATCAGGGTGACAGGTGTGCATCTATTTATATGCATGACAGGCAGCATTATGTATAACATATATATAATTATCAGAGTTCTTCTTTCCATAATGTTTTCTTACAATATTTTTGCAGTACTGAATTGGATAGAGAAAAAGCTCATCCTTGCGCTAAGAACTATGAAGGCAGACATGAGAACAATAACATCCTTTTGCCAACAGGATTCACAAATAAGGATATATCAAGAGCTAATAAGCCTACTCATCTTTCAGATAGGATTCTTTTCTTCAGGACTGTTACTTAGGCAGAAAGGACTTGGTAACAGCCAGATGTATTTCTTTATTTCTACTGTCTCATTCCACCCCACCTCCCTTCAGGTCCTCAGTACATAGTCCAGAGAAAACTACATGGATACAATTTATATAGTGTGGCCTTTCATGCATCCAGATTACACTATGGGAAAATTATCTTTAGTATTTAATTTTTTTAAGGATCTTTAGGAGCTGTTCTTTTATCTATTACCAAACAACTCACAGTGATACTGACTAGCAAATACAGACTTCCTTTTATTGAATGTTTCTCTTTATATTTAAGATGACATTTCCCTCATTGCAATTTTTCACTGCATTTGTACAGCAGTACCTTCTATCTAACTGCCCCTCCGTATCCCCTATGTACTCAGCAGACTGTTAATACACCTTACAGTAAATAGCATAGGAAAACAAGCAATGAATGATCTAATAGTAAATCTATTAAATGTAATATTAATCCAACATTAAACATTTTAGTACCACAAAATCAATATGATACTATCGATTATAAATGAAGAAAAATTGGAGTGAGACTATGACCCAAGTTGACTCGAGTTACAGCTGCTCCAGCATCTATCCAGCTAAAAACAAACCTAAACTTGGAGTTGCTGTAAACTGGCTAAGCTAGACATGATTCATTCTGATCGCATCCAAGGAGTCTAACTATGCATTGCAGAGAAAGAAATTAAGAGGTGAATGATTACAGTGAGGCTGTGATAATATTTGCACTCTTGAATCATTCCCCAATGCCAACGTTATCTCCAGTCCCGCAGAGAACTCAGGGAAAGAAAGATCTGTGTTACATTCAGATGGTAAATGTCAAAATTCTGATTATTCCAAACTCTGTGAGGGAGGAGAGAAGGAAGATTTTCACCAGCCTGTAGTAACAGTAGCTCTGCAATCCAGAGCACACAAACACAGTGGATAACCAAAGAGAGGAAGTGGCAAGCAGCATAGGATTTTCTCCCTCCGAAAAACTCCACACACTTACTGAGCGAGGAGTTCAGTAATTTAAAATATCATTATACTCAGGCTTTGATCCTACAACTTACTGTTCCTTTTCTACATGTTCTATGCAAGGAGTGTGGTCACCATAACAAAAGCTATTATTGGTTGTAATTGTGACAGCGTATGGGAACTGTAATTAAGACAGACCTTCATTTCTCTAGTCAACTTTTTAACAAAAACTATGAAAACGTTTCACCACAGCCTTCAAAAAAAGGTTTACAGATTGGTGCTGCTAGCAAGTATCTGAGACACCTCCAAAACGTTTACATATACCCACTGGAATTATTTTTTGATCAAATAAAAAACTGCATGAAAAAAAGAGGAATATTCAGGAATATATATGCCTACTGTTTTTTGTGTCAGTTCATCAGCCAGCTGCTCATTGGCTCGGGTCTTGTCCTCTACTTCCTGTGATTTCTGATCATAATTGACAGCTAGTTCCTCCAGAGCCTGGAGGACCTCTTTCACCTCATCTTTCGCTGCCTCATTCTCAATCTGAAGACGAGTGAGTTCCTCTTGGATCTTCTCATAATCTCTCCTAGTGGATGCCAAAAGCTGAAAACAGATGGCAGATATCATGGGTGTGCTCCAAGAACTAGTTTTAAAGGTTTTCAACAATGCAAAGAGCAGCAGGTGATTGCAGGAGAGAGAATAAATCTTGCCATTCTACCAGAAATAATATCAATATCAATGTACATGTATCTCTGAAGCAGCCGAGCAAAAAAGCTCCTAACCTTATAGAAAAGAAAGCTTAATCAAATCCTATTATGTCCAAGATTGAAGCAGAGAAGCTTAGTTGGAGAAATTTTATAGCTCCAAATGCCTTTTTTCTGCCCTCAATCTAATTCTCCAACTTGGGCAAAGAACTGAAATGTCAAAGAGTCAAAACTGTGAAATGAACTGTGTAAAAAAGCTGTCTAAAATAGCTTGGGACATCTTGTGGCATTTTGTTACGGGAAATATTTCAATAAGCAAACGTGCGATGATCCTTTTAATCTGAGATTTGAAAGATGAAAACTTAAGCAGGTATCTTATTAAAATATTGCTCCTTTTTACAGAAATAAATTTTAAACAACAAGAAGTACTTGATTAACTACATGAGTACAGATTTGACACAGACTTATGACAGTTTCCAAATTCCCTACAAAAATGCATTTAATTCACTTTATTCTCCATTAAGAGATATGGTCAGGTTTACAACATGGTCCATTTTATAGACTTCCTTTTACTCCTACACCATTGTACCCCATCTCAATAAAATAAAGGAAAATTAAGAATTCTTCAAAAGGCAGATTTCATACACTCTTCATAGGAAGACCTTCAAGTTACATTATCCATAAGAGAACTGTGTCAAAATAAAACAGAAACAAAACCTGAAATGCATCTCCCAACACTTGTCTCTAATGTTACACTTTTAGAAAGTGACACACTTAACTCAGAACGTGCATTTTTTAACACATAAGGCAAAAAGCAGCACTGTATAAAGCCTAGGGACAAGAAATAGATTCTTGTTTAAGAGGTAACCTGATTGCAGGAGCACCACAGGAGCAGAGGACCAAAGCAACAAGAATCAGAGACTCTGATAGGTGTGACTGGCCCTTCCTTCCACTACCACTCCTTGGAGTGAAAAGAAAAAAAGGTCACCCTAACTATGAGGGTGGTCCAGCACTCCGCAGAGCAGGTTCCCTAGAGAAGTCGTAGACTCTCCATCCCTATGAAGTTTCAAGTGCAGGTTGGACAGACACTTGGCTGGGATGGTTTAGTCAGGGATGATCCCACCCTTGAGTAGATGACCTCATGAGGTCCCTTCCAGCTCTTGTTTCCCATGATGTAGTATGTAGCTAGTGCTGACTGGGCTTCCCTCTGTCACCTACCCACTCATTCTCAAGCCCGGAGAAAGTTCAGGCTGACATCAAATCCAAACCACAGACAGACATCCCTGGACACTGAAAAAGTACTTAAGAGAAGGTGAAGGTCTATTAGAAATCACATATTTCTTACAAAATCCAGTGTCCAAATCATAATTTATCTGAGGTGAATACAATCATACAAAAATGAGGAGTTGGTGCAATCTCAGGAAGCTTGGAGCAATGTGAAAAGTTAAATCACTAACACCTCCTTATTCAAAAAATAAAGCAGACCACAGCAATTTATGAAGCCTTTAGGCTTAGCTTAGTACACAGAGTCCTATCCCCCATGTGCTAATAAAGAAGAACCAGTTTTCCTAACAAGATTCAGAACCACTATGAAACCACTATGTAGCACTACAAATGTAGGCAAGAAAGAAATAGTTAAACAGTGGCAAAGGAGTACAAAGGGTATTATAACAGCAGGTATCCTATCTGTAACATGGCTTATATTAGCAATGAATCTGCTAGTTTAATCAGCCAGAAATAAGTGCCCTGGCTAATTATGGGGAACAGCAATTAGACAGCCACCCTGCAGCACATATTTCAATGAGCTAATCACAAGCAGGAGCAGAGAGCAGCTGGCTCATTTCTGTAGCAAAAAGCAGGTGAAGTTTACATGCACTAAGATAAAACCTTAAACATTTTGGGTTGATTCTTTCGAAGAAGAAATTACAAGATTAGTGCATTGGACTCCAGATGGCCATCCCTATCAGATAACTCAGTACAGCTTGTAAGTGATACAACACTAGCTTCAGGAATTTCAGTAATAAAGACAGCAAGACTGGGATTAATCCAAAAATTGTCAGAGGCCACTGAAAATAGGCTCGTATCCCACAAAATTTGAGCAAATAAAGAATCACAGGGAGGCAAGGAGTAATGATAGGACAGGAAACTCCCAAGTAATGCAAGATCTAGAAGTAGATGGTTCCAAATAGCTCAAGAAATAAAGATTAGAAAAGAGAGCAGAAGTAAGGGACGTACAAACTATAGAAATAGGGAATGAGTAGAAAGAAGCCAGGTTTGGAATGCAAATTAAAATTTGCAGATATTAGACCCAAAGAGCACTAGATCCTGTTTTGAAACAGTGGGAGAAGATGATTGTGAAGTGATGTATTAACTTTTAAGCTTCAGACAATAAAATTCAAGTTCCCAATAGGAAGTGACCAAAAGGGAAGGATGACTTATCAGCCTTATGGGGTGTGGGTGAGGGGGTTGGAGGGTAACAGAAAATAATGCTAATGGATGGAACATCCTTGCACTCCTTTTCCGTTCTAGTTAAAAGACACAATATCAATTTTTTCTAATGAACATCTCATTTGGAGTCATAAAATACCAGTGGATTACCACTCAATAAAAGGTAAAAAGCACTGCAAAGAGCAAAAACTGGTTTTGAAAACAGAAAATATGTGCCTCTACTACAAGCCAGTTCTGTACCTAGGGAAAATGCTTGGACATCCTTATTTAGCAACCAGGAGAGGATAATTTTCTGAATATAGTTACAACTGTATTAGCAGCTATTACACCAAAGGAAGAGGAAAAAAATGTATTTTTGGAGATGTATGGTCTAGCAAAAAGTGTAGGGATTAGCACTCAAGACAAAGTGAAAACGAAATTCCAGTTACAGAACCGTGTGCCTTTTCTGATCCTTCCTCCTTCATTCCTGTTCTTGCCCCCTCCCCCACATGAAAAAATTCCCCAATTTACAGAAAGTTTTGTAAAGAATTTGAAGACAAACATCTGCTGAGTATTGTTTCCTACAGATGGAAAGGTAAAATTCAATATGGTCATTCTGCTATGAAATGGCCACTAGTAATTGCTCACAATAGAGCTATTTCAGTGAAAGTAATCAGCACCATCTGAACTAACTTATGATGAGTGAAGATGCTTAGAGTAATTTGTAGAGAAAAAGCTCACTGTGATTAATAAATCAAGCCTTAAAAAGGGACGAGAATAGTGTAAACAAACTGGAGAACACATGGAGCCGATCACCTATGATTATCTGACCAACCTCACTCACCCACCAAATTGTATGTGACCCTGTCTAAAACTATGATATATCAACTACTCTGAATAACAGATTAAACCAAAGAAGAGCCGTTCACAAAATACTTGTACGGGCAGAGTTAAACAAGGTATGTTTTCTATACGTGAAGCAAGAAAGCTAGAAACTGCATACAAACGTAACTAGAAGGTACTCTCAAAAATAAGGAAAAAGATAACATAGAGGCAATATCTGTTTTGTTGTACTGATGTAAATCGACAGTATGCACTACTTAGACTACAGTGGTATTACATTTAGTCTGTGGTTACAATGCAGTAAAAGAATTTGATCCATGAGAAACCTGCAGAGTTGGTTAAACTGCAAAAGCAAGTACAGCAAAAATGGCAAGACTAATTGATTACAAGACATTTTAATTTCTCTTCCAACTTATCCAAATTCTCTAAGTAGGAGAGGTACATTTGGAGAACTCAGTAAAAATAATTCAGTATTTATTATTGAAGTGTTGAACATCTTCAAAGCACCTAGTAAATCAGTATTCATTTATATATTTAATATCTGTGACTGAAGTAAGGATCCTCACTCTCAATCATATATGGCAAGGATTCCTTTACAAAAGAAACATTGATATAAAGAGAGATTAACTGATCTTTCCACAGCCTCAGAGCAAAATCAGAGGCAACTCCAGAACAAAAACACAAGAATATCCAATTCTCAATCACACACTTCTCCCTAGGCCAATGGATCTCAACCTTTTTAGATCTGCAGCCCTGGAGAGACACCCTGAAAAATGCTAACTCATAGTTTTCACTCATTTTTTGGTTATGGAAAAGTAATAGAGTAGTTCTTCTGTTGCAAAGAACTCAGAAAGAAAACAATGGGGCAGAATGTTTTTAACACTGTGGGTTCCTATTTGAAATCACCGGGTTTATCCTGCAAATCATGTTAGCTCACCTAATAGTGCTAACATTGAGGAGCACCATGGGGCACCCTTAAAAGGATCTCAAGGCACCCCAGGGTGCTGCAGAACCCCGGCTGAGAATCACTGCACTAAATAATTGTGCCTCATTTAGTAATGCTTGAATACAGGTTCACCAGTGTTTATAATTTTATAAAGGTCCATAGTCCTAAGGAAACCAGGCAACTGGCTAATGTCTGCCTGGGCGTGGCACCTTGGAAGATACGAACATTTTGAAACACGTTTTTAAACAGTGAAAAATGCTGGTAAACCTCCTACACTGATGTCTTCTACCTAATAGACAGCAATATGGCATACTTGTATGGAGCTACCTGGGCTTCAACTCTAGCAGACAAACTTAAAGTTTAAACCATTCCGTGTGTCATGCAGGCAATTATCATCCAAATGAATTTTAGCCAGTAAATATGACACACGCAGCTGTACAACTAATACTATAATTCTTTTTTACCTCCTCTTGATCCAACATCTGCTGTTTTAGTTTCTCAGCCAACTGGCTCTGCTGGTTGATTTCATCATCCTGCAATGGAATTTAAAATATTTCTATATGTAGTTTTGCTTAGAAACCTTTAGTCTTTCTTTTTCAGAATTCATATAACGGTAATACCACAACAGAGAAAATAAAGCAAGTCAGAGTTTAAATAGTAGGAAAGGGGGGAAAAGAATTAGAAGACAGAGGTATGTGGTAATATCATTACAAAAGTATTTAGTAGTCTTTTAATAAAAATCATAGCATGCAGTTAACCAGGCTTGCCTCAGATCATGACTATGATACTGAAATGGTAAGTAGCTGCACCTGCAACTTTTGTCAGTTTATAATAACTGGAGAACACAATACCTTCAGTGCTAAAGCTGATGATTCCATTTGAAAGTTTTTCTAAATATATATCTATATGCATCTCCTCTCTTCACACATTGAAAGAGACCAGAAAAGTTCCCTAAATTTGAAGTATTCTACAGGGAAGGATCTGTCAACAGTCCTGTTATAACAACTTTATTTTCTAATGTTTCATTAGCTGTAAACATATTGGATGTCACATTTCATAGAAATATAAAATATAAATGTAGGCTCTATTCTAAGTGAAGACAGACTTAGTAAATTAAAAAAAACTAGGACTAGCTGTGAATAACACAAACAAAAAATATGTCATATGAAAACAGGGAATGTAGGCATTTTGTCTGTTAAATTTTCATCTTTCCTTCTCTGTCAAAGACCTTGAAGGAAACAATGTCTGGCTACTGCATCTCCAGGCAACCAATTTTATTGGCATTCCAGGTTCTTAGTTAAGACAACGCCCTTGGGGTTAGAAACTGTTGCTGAATGCAGAAGCAGAAAGAGAGATGCCTAATTCCATTGTATGTATTCTTTGGGCACATGGATTCAACATTAATGCCAATCCTGGCAACTGACGAAGTCAGTCTCCTCCATTCTTGTGGAGAAAGGATACATCTACTTCTAAAACAAATCCCAAGATCAAAGTGCCTGTTTTTGTCTCATTAAAGCCAACTGGAATTCTCTGAGTTTTACTGATAAGCATCCTAAACAACTGATTGACTTCTGATGTTGGAGTGCACCGATAAAGATTTTCTTGACTGATACCAATGGCCGATTATTAACCAGCCATATCAGCCGATACTGATCCAATAGCCAATATGCAGCACAGTGGTGTGGAAAGCAGCATCCAGCCGAGAAGTCCGTAGGGGAGAAGGGGCATGGGGGGTGCAGATCAAGGCTTCCATGTTGAGGGAGGGAGTTGGGCAAGGACAGGGAAAGGGGCAGCCCGGCTGGGGCAGAGGACAGAGCCATGGGCAGCTTGTCCGGGGGGCACGGGGGCGGGGGTGGCTCCCCACCACTGTGCACACCTCCAGGGGAGACATGGGGGCATGTGCCCCCTGGATTTGTGTGTGGGGTGAGGGCAGGCTGTCCACTGCAGGATCGGGGCCTCTTCCAGGCAGTGGGGCTGGGCCAGGGCTGTGCTTGGGGTGGGCAGTGGCAGCACCAGGAGGGGTGGCTATGGATAATTTTGGGGTGCCTATAGCCCTCCCCACTGCTGCCACCGTCCACCCCACCCCCATCCACCCCAAGTGCAGCCCCAACCCAGCCCCCTGCTGGGAAAAGGCCTGCACAGCCCCTGGCCCCAAGCCCACAGTGGGCAGCCCACCCTCACCCAGCACACAAATCCAGGGGCCATGCATTCCCCCATACCTCCTTTGGGGGTGCGCGGTGTGGCAAGGAGCTAACCCCCACTTGTGCCCCTCCCCCACCTCCCAGATGAGCCACTTGTGGCTCCATCCCACGTCCTGCCCTGGCTGGGCAGTGTCTGCCCCTGCCCCACCCTGTCCTCCACTGTGTGGGCCTCAATCTGCTCCCCCCACCACATGCCCCTTCCCCTCCACAGACTTACCGGCCAGATGCTGCTCTCCAAGCTGCTGGGCTCCATTCCTGGCTGTGTGCCCACTGCGGCTGCACACATGCATGCAGCATTTATTGGTGACATTATCAGCTACATTGGGCAAAAAAGCCAATTTCCAATATATTGGTGCATCTCTATTCTGATGGCTAGGTTGGCTAGAGAGCAGTACGCAGAACTCATCACCAACATTAAAATAGTCTTTCATATTTACTGTACATGCAAAGCCTACATTCTCAGGAGTTATAACTATGAAAGTAAATTTTATATATTAGGAGAACGGCTGACCTTCTAATTCTACACAATTGGAATAGCTGATTGAATTGTGTTCTCTCATACTTCCTGCAATAAGTCTCAGACTGTACAACTGACTAAGACTATCTATAATTAGTTCTTTAAATAATTAATATAATTAGTTCTGTGCAGCCTTTTGTGGGGAAGAGATGAAAAGATAGTTGAACCCTTTTGTTATCAGGATGTAAACACTGCAATCTGCAGTTATCCAAAGCTGCAATTTATCAAGGTGTTCAATGGATGTTTTGTGAATATACCAAAAGATTGAGATGAAAATACTGTTGTATACCTGGCCATACCTTGTCCAAGAGCATAATGGAAGGCATAGGTCTCAGCTTTAATATTCTCACTCACTACAAGACCAATAGAACCATCCATACTTTTCTGAGCCCAAGACCTTTTAGCCATCAGCAGATAGCAAGTCAATGCAAATTTTTTACATGATTTCCCTTGCATCTCAGAAGCCCTCCCCCCCCCCAGTAAAGTACATCTTTACATTAGGAACATTTTAAAGCAATTATCAAAGCACCCAAAATGCCCTCTCATCTTTTGGCATCACGAACAAAACTGACTATAGTCACCAAATCTTTCTGAACACCTTCTGCATTTTCTATTGTTGTCCAAGCCCAATACACTTGTTTATTCTGAAAAGTGCTCGGTGAACTTTATTATCATCTCTCAATAAATTACCAATGACAATAATGGAGGTGATGGCAATTTCAATAAAAAATGCTCCTGTCCTCCAAGATGCATGCATTCTGGAAGAGTGACACTGTTAAGACAAAGGCTCCAGAAAACTTGAACGATAATCTTGGATGTATTAACTTTAATGTAACATTCATCACATCTCAGTTTCTTACTCTGTCATGTAGCAACCTTCCCTACTGCATTAAGATGGCAAGGCAGATGACTGATTTATGACTCGGTGCAGAGGTGAGAAATTTAAAAGGACTAGAGCAGGCCCCTAAAATTAACGGCAATCTTTCCATTACAGTGGCCGCATCTATACAAGATGCTGACTTCACAGTAGCCCAATACGACTGCACAGCAGCGTCGCATGGCAAAAACCATGACACAACACTAAGTACTGTCACAAAAAAGGCATTCATTGGTGCTACTGCACAGTAACTCAGGTTACTGCGCCGTCATTTAGTACTTGCTTATACACATAGAGATGCACCGATAAATCCTCCATCCTACCTCCCACCCCAGCTATGCAGCACCTGCCCCTGCCTCACTCCCTCTCTCACTGAGGGGGCCTTGATCTGCCCCCCACCCCCAACTTACCAGCCTGACACTGTTCTTCAGGCTGCCAGGTTGCATATTGGCAATTGGATCGGTATTGGCCAATATGGCTCATTAATAAACAGCCATCAGTATCAGCCCAAAAAATCTGTATTGGTGCATCCCTATACACAAGTACTAAATGACTGCACAGAAAGCACCTCATGTAGATGCCGCCAATGAGAATTGCATTGAACCTTAAAATGAGCTAAAGGTGCAAGCTGTTAAATGGCTGCAGTCAGGGGAACCAGACCAATCCGTAAGAGGAGGTGTTACTTGGAATCCTGAAACGTTCCTCATCCACACAGAAAAAGCGATGGCACTAAAGACAAAAATACAGAAGTCACAGAATCTGTGACCAGCATATAAACCCTGTACTAGAAGCACTCTACTTACTACCCAAAGCAGGCGTTTTAAATAATTCCAGCTACACAGTTCTCATTCAAAACTTCTCCCAACATAAAAACTGATCAGCTAATATTTGTGACTGCTAGTGCATATTAAATATGAAACTCTAAATGTCAGATGAGCCCAGTGCTTTCAAGATGCCTCACCAGGAACAGAAAACTCAAAATCCAAGACTATTACTGTGCCATGCAGTTAGTCACACCACAGCTGAAACACTGATAACAAATACCTCTACTCTGCACTCAGGATTTACATATAAAGAGCAGACTCAAAGAAGCAATTTTCTGACCTTATCATCCAGCTGTCTGTAGAGACTGGCAATCTCCTCATCATATTTCCTCTTTTCCTCAGTGGAAATGCCAGCAACAACAGGTGCAATGTTATCAATGATAGGGGTGTTATCGCATGGCTCCAGATTCTTCTGGTCTTTAGCACTGATCTGTTCATCCTCTGGCACAGCTTCTCCTTTGAACCCACAGAAGAAATGGTTAGTGTCATCACTATTAGAACCCAGGAAGTAGTATCAGTTTGAAAACAGGGCCTGGACTATAGGCCAGGTCATCAGCCGTGGCTGAGCAACACCTAGTGTGCAGAGGAATAGGTGGCTTTTGCAGTGTTTTGATCTAGGATGGCCCAGACAATGGCACAACTCAAAGTAGACTAAAGGTAACAAGTTCAGGCTTTTAGACCTCCTATATTCAGGGATAAAAATAGCATACTGCTAAGCCAACAGAAATAGGGAGGGTGGCTGATGCTACAAAATGGAATCTCTCTCTCTCACATGCAGACACACATCCTCTATGGATTCCCCGTCATGTGAACCAAATGAAGTGGTTTCAGTGCTACTTTATACCACCAGAACAGCACAGAACAGCTTCAATATCTCACAAATTACACTTACAAGGGTCTGCTTGACCCTGCTTCTTTCTCCCATATCCATTTTATACTAGAATTGCTCCATGGGCTTACAGCAAGGTAAATATGAAAAACAGACCCTCAGTTTAGAGTCCATAAAGCATTATCTATGTAACAGACAGACAAATACTGTCCTTTCCCTCCCACCATCATTAGGAAGATAGACAAGATATATAGGACTCAGAACAGGGGTGTCAAACACATAGCCAATGGGCTAGATCCGGCCCATGAAGCCCCACCATCCAGTCCCCAGTGCTACACCTGGGTCTGATTAGACCCACGCAGGACATGGCATATGCCCAGGGCATTCCATGGGCCACACTCAGTCCACAGGCCCCTTCCCCTCCCACTCCCCCAGCATACCTGATCCACAGGCTGCTCCAGCCATGCTGGGACCCCTGCTGTGTGTGGTGTGGATCCTGGAATGGCCATAAGAGGCATCACATGCAGCACAGTCCAGCCAGAGCAGCAGCAGTGCTGCAGACAGCGGCCACCCCAGCCAAACTAAGCCATAGGCAGCACCCACACTGGGACATGTGCTGCACACAATGCCCACTGCAGCCAATCTTGGACCTCCACTGCAGGCACTGCTTGCAGGTGCCATGGGCAGCACAGGTCCCAAAATACTTGGAGTGAGTATCACATGCAACACTGTTCTGGAGCTGTTAGGGTAACCACCACATGTAATGTGGCTTCCACTCCAGCCAAACTGCGCCATATGCACCACTTGCTCCAGCTACTTCAGGATCTGCACCACACACAGCACAGGTCCCAGACAGGCTGAAGCAGCTGCCAGATCAGGTATGCTAGGGGAGATGGAGGCGGGAAGAGGTCCGTGGGTTGGATAGGGCCTGAAGGCTGGCCTCACGGCACTCATCTGGCACGCAAGGTGAGTTTGACACTCCTGATTCAGAAGATATAAAGACACATATAAAGAAAAACCAACAATTTTCAATTGTACCTCTGAGTACCAAACATTAAGTAACTGTATACTCCCAGTACTTGGGAGACAGGATGTTCTTCTTATACTTTTTCCTTCAAAATATTTTTTTAAAATAAGAGAAGAAAGGGAAGTATTTTACACTAAAAGCTGAATCTAAGTTCATTAAAATATTATGGGAATACTCCTGTCACTGCTAAATGCCATACATATTGCTTGGGGTGTAACTAAAATTCCACCTAGGGAACAACCACATTTATATGAACACAAAAATATTTGGCTCCAGAAAATAAATGTTAACTAGTAACTGCTCCTGCCAATTGTGTACAGAAACATTCACTATTCAAAATTATCAGCATAAAACATCTTAAAAATAGTCTTTGTCTAAATTATTGATACCCATGAGATGATTAATACCAAAATATTACTAAATCTAACACATTTTTGACCATTTCTGTCACTAGCTTAGCTTTTGTATTTCATTCAGAATAACAAGCAACATTCGAATCTGCCTAGCTTTTGGGCACTAGAACAGTATGTTTGGGCATGTCTACACATCACCCTACAGCGACATTGTTACTCCACTGTACTTTAGTTCTTCTTTTTGTGCAGTAACTGCCCATACTGTGCCATGCATGTGGTGCATGGTTAGTTTTAGCTGCTACTTCTCCATAGTGGCACACTAAAACAGGGGAGCATGCCGTTTTGGCAAAGTAGCTGCTGTTCACATGTAGACTCACATGATTGCTATGTCGCTATAGCATGTCATACAGCGATGTACTGCATTGCTATGGCGACATAAGGCAATGTGTAGACACACCCTTTGTTTCCAAAACTGGAGCACTATGTATGAGAATCCTACAGAAGTGTAACAGATTGGAGCCACAAGGGAAGCCATGATGCCCCTGGTGGCTGTATGACTCCTGCCTGGCTCAGACCCCTCCTGTCTTCTTGACTGTTCACCTGCCACACCTTATTGTTACTGAAGTTAAGGGAGGCTGCCCATGGGCCTTACACAGAAAGCCTGAGTCCAATCAACTCCTCAGCAGGTCCCTCATGGACCCCACTAGACTCAAATCAGTGAAACAGGCCCTCTCAGCCTGGCAGTAAAGGGCAAATTGTGTGGCTCCATTCCTCCCCTACACCACAACACAAGCCTTGCAGGTATTATTCATGTCCACTGTTTGCTTTCCTTAGCCCTTTAAGGACTCTCAGACCCTCTGGGCCCCTCTCTGCCCTCTATCTCTGGGTCCTCAGGCCCCTAGTCCCTCCTCCAGTCACTCTCTGGTTTGGGGAACCACTCAGCCCTCCTCTGGACTGGTGGGCTCTGCTTCCTTTTCTGACTATCCTTTGGGCAGGGGAACCCTCTGTGCCCTGCTCAGTTCCCTTCTCTGGGCTGGTTGGCACGATCCCCTTGCTCTCTGTCCCCACTCAGCCCCTTTTCTGAGCTAGGGGAATTCTCTATAGGCTTTGAGCCCTCTCTTCAGTGGGGCTCAAGGCTTGCAACTCAGAAAACATTATCAACATAAAACAAAGGCCCCTTGCCTGCATAAACCCTTTCTTCTCTGTCCCAGGAAATATTCTCTCGTTCCTGGGTTTGCAGAGTCTTTCTACATCCCCGACCTTCTTAGGCTGATCAGGAGCCCTCCTGCAGAGAACTCCTCTATCCAGCCTCACGGACTCAGGCATTGGGCTTATCTAGCTCCAGCCTGGCCCTCTCCCATCAGGTAAGTCTGCAATCAGCCCCTGCACAACCTGGAAGCTGCCTTTCAGGCAACGTGTCTTGCTACAACAAGAAATACGTTTGCAAAAAGAAGTTTCAATTTTTTGAAAATATCAGAAATGTTTCCATTCAGGTTGCTATATGAAGAAAAGGCTAAATTTTTTGTTCAAAGTTTTATGACAATAGCCTTTCAGTCCTAATACACAGGATATGCATGTGCTTAATCCAATGATTTCAGTGGGAACTGGGATCACATCTTTGTTTCTGCCTTCCACCAACCAATCTTATTCAAGTGATCAAATAATCAATAATATATTTTAAATGCAAATAAACCGTAACTGGGAAAGACCAATGAAACAGAAAGGGGCATATTGGTAGGTGAAAAAAACAAGATAGTATGTTACAAACATTGTTTACTCAGCAGTGTATCCATGTGCCTTATTCTAAAAACACTCCCATCTTTCTAGGATGGAAAAGGCATTTAGAAAGTGACATTCAGTAAACACAGAATCAAGCATACAAGCACACGAGGGGATTATAAATTCCCAGCACTATAGAAGACCAACATCAGGCAAACCGTCTCCATGGCAATTCCAAAGCACTAATGGAGAAATATTCCCTGCACTGAAGTGGCCTGAGTCTCCAGAGAAGGCCACAGAAGCTATCGCTAGGTAACTAATAAGGAAGACAGCTCTAAAGAGAAGGAGGGAAGAGGAACATTTGAAAATGATAAAGATTTTATTTTTTCTGCTTTCATTAAAGACAAAAAGGGTTGCCTCTTAATGAGCCCACTGAAAATTGTATGTGTATTTAAAACCAGAGTTATTAAGTGGGTAAGACATCTATCTTTTGACTCGCATCCCTCAATGCCAAATCACTGGCTTGCATTTATTTACCTTCTGTGTTCAGTGTTTGCTCATAATGTTGCATATAATTAACATTTAGATGCTAGCACTGGACTCAAATGACACACTCTTCTTTTTTCAAATGGCTCTTGACTTCCTTTAGTACTTTCCTTTTTTTTTCCTTTTTTTTTTTTTTAACATATTTGATTCAACTTTTTCCTCTTTAATGAAAAACAAGCACCATCCATTACAATGTCAAACTTGTGAGTAGATGAAAGCCTCTAAATTGGCACCTACTCATTAACATTTCCAACACAAAAGCCACCTACCAAGTCACCTTCTTTCCCTACCCCCCTCTGTCTACCCAATTTCATGAATTAAGCCACACAGCCATAGCCGCAATTTTGTTCTTTATGGTACTCTGAACGGGGTTATTTGCAGCTCTCCACAGAAATTCCATCTAAAAGCCACAGGAGGGCAGGCAGGTGGTGAATCTTCAGATCAGGCGACAGTTTCTAATGGCAGTACTAATGGACTGCCTTTTTTCCTGCTAAACTCACACGTAGAAAATATGCAGCAATTCTGGAGGCACTAAAGAGCAGAAACCCATGGCTGAAAGAGAGCGATCTTTTAAATGACAGAAACTGAGAAGTTCATCAAAAAAGATCACTTTATGGGTATTCTGTCTGCTTTCCTTTTCCCAGACCTCATGTGATTTTAGTACTCATGAAAGGTAATATACACTGCTTTCAATGCAACTAGCTACAATAAACTGATTTAGTTCCAAAGTTTGTTGTGCACACTTTTTTAATTCTAGATGTTTCTGATGTAGTCGAAAAATACAGCTCTTATGGGAATTTTAGAGATCAAATTCTGCCTTCAGCTACACAAATGTAAAGCCAGAGAACCTGCTGACTTCAATATAATTTTTCTACATTTATACCAATTTAACTGGGAAAAAAGGTAATAGAATAGTTTTAAGAATTGTTACTATGCTGCTTTAACTACTTTGTAATAAGCAGCAGTGAAAACTCCACTTGGAGTCTTAAAGGAAAAAATGGTCTTATAATTAGTTTTTTATCTACAGATTTCACACTTTGTACCATATAACTGACACACAATTGCATGAATGTAATATTCCAGTTGAACACAAAGGTTAGGTACAGACATTCAAAAAGCCTGAGATGGACTCCATCTAAGTTGTGTGGTTTTCTGCAAGTAGTGTAGTTTAGATCGGTAGTGAACAGACTACACATTCACCCTTTGGTGGGCAGGGCAAATCTTAGACTGGGTTTTACGATTTTTAAACCAACCTATGTGTACCAAACTTCTGTTGTGTTATGGGTACAGACCGGTTTTCGATCACTTATACCAGTAAAAGTGTAATGTCTGTATCTGGCTGATAGTGGCAAACAATGACAACATAATTTCCTGTTCATTATGTAGGAACAGAGAAGTGCCCACATAATTGTAGTTATGACTGATCACTTCACCATAGCAAAGTTACCGGAAATTGTTTTCATTTTCAGTGAGTTAATTCAGTTAAGTGGTTCATATAACCCTGCCTGCTACACTGTGCCAAAAATGCCATTTCCCACATCAGCAGACTGGTCTCTTACAAAGCACAGCAACCTCCAAAATTGGCCTAGGCAGAAGAGTAAGCTATTGTTGCTGCTGTACAAAAGGGTCATGAAGGCACCTGCGTGCAGCAAGCACGCACAAGAGAACTGAGTGATCTTAAAACAAAAAAGGCCATTAGAATAATCTAGTCTGTGAACTAAAATTGCTTTTTGAAAAGGAATTATTATTCCATTGTAGCATAGTGGTTCAGAGAGTGGGCACACTGATCAAAATAAGCCAGAACACCCAGGAACACAAAAGCATTGTTCTCCTTTACACACATCTATGTCCCCCAACTCACAAACATGAGTTTTCATGCATTTCCACAGATAAGCAGAGCAAAGTCTACGCTCATGAAATTACACAAATCTTTAGTACAATTTAGAGACTAGTACAATCTGTACAGATGCCATGTTAACATCCTTAAACAACTGTCACTTTTTAACTGGATGTATTGCTTCCTTTTCCAATACTGGTATGCTGGAACAAAACTCTCTTCTTTATGGCAAGCTATGTAACCTTCAGTACTCTGATCTATCTGATCTAGTGCACTACAACTAATTGTCAGTTACCATGACTCAAACCCAGGCTTCCAGAGGTTACATACCAAAATGTTATTAGTGCACCTTATATTCCATAATAATCTGATTTTGTCTTATCTAGGGATATAAAATGAAGAAAAATGTATTATCAAGTCAAAAACCTTCTTTTTGCCATTCAAAATTATAGCTGAAATTGTTGTATTTGTGCCATTAAAATGTATCGGAATGTTTGTCCTGTGATTAAGTTATGAAACATCTAAAATTAAAAATACATATATATTCACTCTACTTCCTTGTTTCTTACCATTTCTCCACCTGTTCAGTTCCATTTCCAGATGCTGGATAACATTTTTCAGGGCTTTGTTTTTGTCTTTTTCCTTCTCATATTTTTTCTTCCACTCCTCAGCAGTCAGCTCCAGATTCACAGATACCGTGTTCTTAATAGTCTTGGCTCTGTGCAATTAAAGGAAGGCATAAATCACTTCATTACAACATTTCTCTGAATGTAATACCATAAGGATTCAGATTTTTTAAAAAGCAAACCCTAAAACACTGCACTGCACATTAGAACATAAATTACAAAATCACAATGTATACTCCTCTTTCAAAAACTAGACAGCATTGCTCCCTGGAAGTTGAAAGGTAATTTTTATATGGAAAAACTAACAACTAATCCCCAAAGGGACCAGTTATGACAAAATACAGCCATAATTAAGGATGGAAGTTCATGAAAGTGCCGCTTTTTGATTAAAAACAAAAACTATAATAAGAGAGCTGCTCAGCTAAGCAGCCATTCAGTGCCTCTCAGCTACATTCCTCAGTTTCCAGGCTCCCCTGGCCTGGAACATGCAAGACAGCGTGCTGCCCAGGTTTGTAACCTTTTTTAGTTAAATTCTGTCAATGAAAATAAGTTGTATTTCTAATAATAATACAGAATCGTGAAAAAAGACTGTCTTTGTACTTACTGTTTTAGTTAAAATACATTGACTGGAACAGCTGAAATTTGGACTTAAACCAATTTATACGCCAACCTGAACCTCTGATCAGGCTGTGGGGGTCATTCGACACAAAAATTTTGCCTTAATTTTATATTGTGTTAGTTAAAATTCATGTTTAAGGGGGGAAAAAAAGAAAGCCCTGATTCTGCCTAGGCCATTTAGAAGAGGAGAATTTCATTCTGAGCTCATAGTTCATTTTAACTGTAAAAAGCAATCCCGCATTGTACAACAACACTGTTTCCATCTGAATTTGCAGAAGGAATTTAAAGTGGTCAAAATGTGAATTAAGCAAATGACAACATGGTTGAGATGCCAAAGGAAGCACCTGTTCTCTCCAGAGAATGAATCTGAAGTGACCAAAGCTACTAAAAAGAGAACAGCAACTTTACAGTTCCCTCAGTAGCATGCCAGCCTCGAAACCCAGGATGTGGTATCGTTTCAGAAGTGACAGATTTCTACATCCTAAGAACGTCAGTGCAACTGCATGAAGCACACTGGTTTTTCCTTTGACGTCTCCTATCCCATAACTGACCAGGTCCACGACTGCTGAGCTTATACAACCTGACAAGCTCATTGGCTGATGTGACTCAGAAGAGATGCAGGCCATTGCTAGCAATAATGTTTAAACTGTTGATACACACCATTCAAAGGCCCTGTGTGGCTTTACAATGGGTACACACTTATAAACACAAGACCACATACCCTACTGTGCTGACAGAGAAGGAAATCAGTAAAACCCTTTTGGACATATGAACAAACTGAATGAAACTGATTTATTTGACAATTTGGTTTAACCCAACAGACCACATACATGCAAGACAATTAGCAAGGCATCTGCTTTTCCATATCTACATTTTAAAAATAGAGTTAAGAAAACTTAAACAGTCACTGTCCTTTAAATGCTCAAACACTGACATGAATGAATGAAGGAGAGACATATTACTAGATCGAGAGCTTTAAAATCAAAGAATACTAAATACATGCAGCACCAGTAAACTAATATCTAGAAAACAGTTTCTAGAGAACATATTCAGAATCACCAATACAAAAATACCTTCCCTGAAGCAACTTATTTTCAATGACTTGCCCTGGAGATGAAGACTAATTATCACCTGGAAAAACCAGTATCATAATTATTGTAAAAACACTTCACGGCTCCTTTAAGTCATTTTAAAACTTTCCAAAAACGCAGCTGATAACAAGAAAGCCTGAAGTCCCATTTCACATTATATCAGGAACAGCACTGCTCCTCCTCCACGTTCCAGCCAATGCCCCAACCGTTCTCACAGCAGGTTTTACTACCTGTGCAATGCAGTAGTTTTATTTTTTGCATTTTTGCCAAAGAATATAAGCCCCACTCCCTTCTATGTGAACATCTCTTGTTAGTCTTTAAAGCCTGGTTCAAATTGTCCATTCCTGTGATTGCACTGGGGGGGAGAAGGAAGAAGAAAAAAGAACCCCTAAAAGAGTTACTAATATTTGGTGAAACACATGGTGGAAACTGTTTATGTTAGTAAAAATGCAACATGAACAGGGTAAGGGATACAGAGTAATGTCAAAACCAGTGAAGCACTTGCACACTCCCCAGTGCTGTAAAATGGCTCTCGGGAGATTATCTTCAGTCCTGGAAAATGCTGTCATTTAAAATAAGTGTTTTAAATGTGGGGAAGCAGAAGAACTACTGAAAACAATAACGATCCACAAGGCACAAATGTTCAATACCTTTCCTTTAATATTTAAAATGCTTTCCCTTGCCCCTGTGGCACATAGCTATGTTGGAAGTAAAAAGACTCGCACCCAAAAGTGTCTTCTTTAAGTCAACTGTCAAATCTGTATTCTTTAGTCAGGTAGGGGGCCAGAAGGAGAATTTTTTTCCGTAGATATCAATATTCATTTTCTTTTCTACAAAGCCTTAGAGACTAGTACCACATGCAGAGTATGTGTTGCTCTCTTTCATGGATCTAATATAACTCAGCACTACAGCTAACCTCTCATTTGTATTTTATTCTTTACAGTTCACTGCTCTGTGCCATTCCTGTTTGGCATAATCCCGAATGATCTATTTTAAGTTGCCAAAGAGTGTCTAGCTCTACTCCCAATTCCCTCAGCTGGCATCCTTGTCCTCAGTAAGAAATGTGTTGTATGATTTTAAAAAAGCACTGAAATAAAACTGCTCTCCGCTTCTTCAAAAAGTATTTTACATTTCTTACAACATAATTTGTTATTTATAGTTTTATGGGCAGCATAGAATGATATAATTCACTGCACTACTTTCTTTATTCAGCATCAATCATGGCTCTTGTTAGTCAAGTTGAGCAGAGTCTAACAGTTTCTAAACAGATCTGCCTTCCGCACATAAGGTCCATTCTTGTTAATTACTGCAAAATGAGATATGAAGCCAAGAAATGAAAACTTGAATATTATGAATTCTGCACAGCCTATGGATACATATATCCCTTCAATGTATGTGCAAGCATCCAATATTGTTAGAAAGATGCAATGCATGTTCATAGGATCATAGGATGTTAGAAAAATAGCGCTGTCTAACCTTGTGCAGGCCAAAATATGCAAAGCACATTTCACGTGATTAAAATTAAGCTTGTATTTAGCTGCTTTATTGAATTGGGACCTTATCCAGGAAAAAAGCTAGGGATGTGCAATTCCTGTTTTATTCATTCATTTTATTATAAGACAATGTAAACAAACATTAAACAAAATTATCAAATAAAAACTCAAATAACAATTATGAAGCATTGTGAAGCCATCATCATGTCTATCTGTAACTTTTTGTCCCTCTAGCAACAACAGTGTACAAGCCAGTCTAAGCCAACACAGATGCATTACATAACAAACTAGCTATAATTATTGCAACCTAACATCCCTAGTTAACATCACTACTGAGTAATCATCAGGGATCTGGTTTTCCATTTCCCACAGAAAAACAGAGAAAATGTGGATTTATCATTTTAACAGAAAAACATGAAGATTTTGCACTTATGCAAAGACCTCTCTGCAGATTGGCAGAGTTCCAGCCTGCAAGGGGTGGAGGGCACAGAAGAAGGGCAGTCAGGCAAGGAGTGCCATGGGTTGGCCACCAGACAGCCTGGAGAGCAGCTCCTGCAAGTAAGTCTGGCAGGGGGGAGCGGGGATTGAGGCCTCCATAGAGAGAGGGACTGAGTTGGGCAGGGTTGGGGCTGCTGCCCAGCCAGGCAGTGTGGGGTCAGAATGTGTGGCCACAGGGCCCTGGCAGAGAGTGCATTGGGGCTGGGGGTAGCTCATCCAGAGAGTTGGGGGAGGGGGGAGGCAGGCTCCCCACTGCTGCGTGCACTCACGGGGGGGGGGCGGGGAAGGAAGAGCATGGAGGAACCATGCCCCCCAGACCTGTGCACAGGGTGGGGGCAGGGTGGGTGCAGGCTGCCCACTGTGAGGTCAGGCTCTCCCTGTGCTGCCCCCACCCCGGGCCTCTGCAGCCCAGTGGGTGGGACCTGGCAGGGAAACTCTTTGCCACTCCAGGCCCCGCGTCACCCTGGCGAGGCAGGGGCAGCAGCACAAGATTGTGCCCCTCACTGCTACAGGGCAGGCAGGGGGCACATTGCCAGGGCAGCACAGACCTTGTAGTGGTAAAGGGCTTCCCAGCCCTGCTCTGCCCTGCTGGGTCCCGGCCACTGGGCTGCGGAAGCCCCAGCGGGAGTGTAGGAGGGAAGGGAAGCCCGCAGCCCACACCCAGCCTTGCACACAGATCTAGGAGGCACGGGCCCATCCTGCCAGGAATGAATGTCATGGTGGGGTGCTGGCCCCACCCCCTGCCAGAGCCTACAGCAGGCAGCCCGCACCTGCCCCACCCACGGGTCATTAGGAGGGCCCAAGGGGCTGGGGGGCTGAGGGGTACTCACAGAGCCAGGGGGCCAGGGCTGCAGCAGCAGGGGGAGGGGAGGAGTGGGCCTGGGCCCAACGTGGGCAGTGTGGGGGAGAACCAGGCCTGAGGGTGGGGAAAAGCCAGCCCGCCATGGTGGTGTTGGCGGTGAGGAGAAGCAGCGGGCCCAGGCCAACACAATGGGAGGAGCAGGCTCAGGGCTGACACAGGGGAAGAGGTTGGGGGAGAAGTGGGTCTGGGCCTAAAGTGGGGAAGAGGCCTACTCCTCCGCTCCCCCCACTACTGTCACATCAAGCTGGGCCTGCTGCTCTCCCCCCTTCCCCCTGGCCCTGCAACAGGCCAACTTCTCCCCCACCTCAGGCCCGCTCCTCCCCCCACTTGGGCCATGTTGGGCCCGGGCCCATTCCTCCCCTTCCCCACTGCCACATCAGCCCCCCACTGTCATGGCATGCCCGCTCCTCCCAGCTCCTGTGTTGGGCCCACTCCTCCCCTCCCCACTGACACATCAGCCCACATCAGCCTTGTGGGTGGTGACGATGGAAGGGGGAGAGGCAAGTCAAGGTCTGGGCCAGTGGCCTCACCGCCCCCCTCGCAGTGTCCCGACCCTGCTCCTGCCCCCCTGCACCACCGCTGCCACCTCCAAGAAGGCCACCTCCAGTAGCCTCACCTTCCTGCGCCTCTCCATCATTGCCACCTGCAGAGAGCACTGCTGGCCTCGCCCACCCCCGCTCCATTCCCTGTGTCCCCGCCATAATGGCAGCACTCTGCCATGCTGATATCTTCAGTCCCAATGCTGTATTCACACTCTGATTGGCTGTTTCAGTCAGCCAATCAGAGCGTGAATAAAGCATTACAGCCAGACAGAGTAGAACTTTTATTTTATTAGTGGTGTTTCATTTTAATTGCAAATTTTGGGGTTTTTATCAGGGAATTTGCCATTTTTTTAATCAGAGAAAACCAGGATTCCTGGTAATCATTATATCATTAAAGACTCTTAAGCACATCCCTCCAAGAAATGCATTTTTGAAGAGAAGGTTTTCTTGCTTGTTTATTTGTGTTTGCATTGAAACACAAGCCATCATAACCTCTTAGTCTGATCATGTCAATGACAGCTTCCCCCTGTAATAACTTTATCTTGGGCCAAGTATTCCCTTCTTGCAACAAAAAACCATAGGAGGAGCCCGCGTGACCTTTCCTAGGGCAGATTTTTATAGGTGAGCAATTTATGGTACTGAGGAAGGAGCCCTAAAACAGCAGTACCAGCTTTCCCCATTGCTGCCTATTTGGCCACATTTAGTTCAGATCTCCAGATCCTAGCAGACATGAAAGGCAAGTTAGAAGCATCAATCAGGCCACAAGGAGACAATACTCCAGAACAGCTATGCCTACCTTGGCTCCAGCTATTAATTCCTCAAAAGCTGAAACCCAACAGAGGCCTGTATCCTTCTGAGCCTTTCTTGTTCCTTTTATAACAAGATCCATATTGCACTTTTTATGTCCCCTTCTGTTTATAGGCAGAACACTAATTAAGAATTATATGGTCTATCTTCTCTCACTAAAGCCAAGAGCAAAACTTTAATAAAGGCTAGAATGGGGCCTTAACGAGTAAAGGATTGCTGGGTAAAAACTTGCAGCAATCTTATACATTTCTATGTAAAATGTTCTTTGCAAAGGATGGGTTTCAATACAAACTGTGCATATCCAGAAACACATCCCAATTTCAGACAGACAGCAAAAAATTCTACAGTGCTATACAAATGGTTATGGTGACTTATATTTCAAAGAGCAATCGCAAATTATTAGCACATAATGTTTTTTATCAAGTCATATATTAAATAAAAGTAAACAATTTCCAAAAAAGTATCCAAGCTTACACTGATTATAATAAAAGGAGTAATTTAAGAATCACCTATCTACAGACTGCCTGCACTAATTCCACAGGAGCATTTCTTTTGGATCAGTCAAAGATTTTCATTCTGAGCAAGTTTACTTCATCCTTGCCTTTTCTTGAGAGTTCTTTTCCAAGTTAAGATGTACATATCTAAAATTTCCAGTGAGCAACAACAGTGATCAACTTTACATACAAATCCACATTATATTCCTATTACTACACGTGGACTCCTATATAGGTCATACCAATCAAAATGTCTCTGAATGGAAAACTCAGTGTTAAAAGTTTCAGAAGCAGGCTCCAGTGGTACCTCAGATGAAGCAAAATCAAAACCCAGCTACTGAGCCAGCTGGGAAAAATATTATCCAGCACTGTTACATTCCCACAACATTGTGATGCAAGTACTTTCAGCTGCAAAAATAATGCCTGAACTCTGGACCAGTTCAGCTACCTGCCAACATTAAATTATTTTTTTTCAGATACCGTAAGGACTAATGATATAGTTTATCCTTATGTGTCAAATTTCAGTACAGGCTAATTTCTTTTACCACTGTTTTTAGAAAAACATATTCACTTGATTCAAACACTATAGCCAAGTTGGTCACTTTTCAGTCTAATTTTGGGTAGACTCACCTTTGTCCAAACATCAGGGTAGACTTTGTTTCAGCTTCATTGAAGATGGAAGGAGAACAGCAGATAACAATAGTAGTTCTGCAGTTCCCACCAAGAGAGTCTTGAAGAATTCGAGTCATTTTGCTGTCTCGGTATGGAACATGTGTTTTCTAAATAAAAAGATAGAAATAACTGTTTTCAAACACCTTTGTTTTTAATATGCACAAGAAAGTTTAAGACCTGATAATTTTGGTGTAATAGGTATATGGTTAAGTGTACAACATGTACTGTGCATCCTAAGTGTTCGACTGGAAGTGACTGTGAATTCTTTAAATTATGGTTCCAGCAGAAATAAAAACACAGTTATCAGTTTACAGTCCAAAGCCAATACTTTCTCCTTTTTAAAATGGAAGTATCATCTTATTTCTATTACCCTTTATGTGCATGGTAAATAAAAATCATATTTGTCAAATGAAAAAAGGGGGGGATTACTTACAGTTCCCTCTGCCAAAGCTGATATCACATTGCCCAGAGCAGACAAAGACTTATTGATATTTTTAGCTTCATCAAGAACAGAGCCCTCTGCTCCAGTTTTGCTGACCTACCAGAGATAGAAACCAGTCAGATTGAACTGTCAGCAAGAGCTTGTGCAAATAAAGTTACAATACAGGAAGGGACAGGGGAAAAATAATAGACTCTCATAAGAAAATAAGTTTTTCCTTTGAAATAAAGTGTTTGTTAAGAAACATCTACTAAAAACATTTAATAGCATTTTCATCTTTTTCTCTTTGTTTTTTCCTTCCTTTTGGCGCAATGCAAGAAAAAGCTAGCTTATGCACCCTTACTTGGTTAAAGGAACCATGGGAGTTCTGCCCAAGATGTGTATAAAAAGGTTATATATTTGTTGTTTCATTGTGGTTTTTAAGATACAGCATGTTTTCAGCCCTGTTTCTTTATGGAACTATGGAAAATGGATGCCATTTCACATGAAAGGAAGAATAACTGTGGCAATGAACAGGACAACTCTCTGAAAGACTGTGCGATTCCAGGTTTTCTACTGAATTCCCCCAAACCTATTCACAAGTTGCAAATCTATGAATTTAAGGCAGAAGAATGGAATTCTGATCGGCTACTCAGTTTCCAAAGTGTTATCAACACATTTTTAATCCAATAATATAAATTAAATAAACACATATACTAATGTAGGTGAAAGGGCTTTTTCGTCTGAAATAACAGAAAAGCAATCTCAGGTCATCAACTAATGCAAAATCAAAGTTATTCGGCAAGCCACATCAATACATTTGAACCCAATTTTTTGCTCAGTTGCTTTCTAAATTGGAAAAATGAAAATCTACCATTAACATGAAAGAGCTACCTATGCTATTTAAACTCAATTATTTCTCAACTACTTACTAGTATTGAATGTATATGCTAAAAAGCAGGGACAAATGTAAAGAAGCCTTCTAAAACTATATCAGAAGTGTTCTATACTTCCACAAAATCATGGTTTTAGTTGCAGGGAGACATTCTGAATGTTCTGCAATCTGCTAACAACATCCTCTCTTTGATGTTAATTCCGTAGCGAGAAACAGAGTTTTTGTTCAATTGCAGTTTTGTTCTGACCCATTATTCTTTTGATTAGCAAGATAAATTTTTTATTTTACTTAATATTTTTGTACCTTAAAAGCAAAAATAGCTTATACAGTCAGTGTTATGAAAGGATGCATACAGAGAACCTGAAAACATACTAATAGCCTCTGATGATCCTAAATGAACTAATTGCTAATGTTTCATCACCTAATACATTAAATGATCTAAAGTACCAGAAATGGAATAAATCTGAAAAGATATTACAGTAATGGCCTAAGTGGACACTTTACAGAAAGCTCATAAAACTTCCAAACAAACAACACCGGTGAATGCCTGTCCGCACATCCATAATAGCCTTCTCTACAGCCACTGGCACACGTTACAGTTACAATGGATTAATGTGTTTAGCACACCATATGCAGTAAGAATGCTACACATTTTGCAGCATTGCAGTCAATTTATGGTGGCATAAAGCTGCAAACCAGCCACAAAGTTATGCCACAAAAATGTGCAACATTTTTAGCTAGCTTGTATGGTGCCATAACTTTTATAGCATCTTCATGCTGATGTTGACAACCAACAATCAGCTAATTGTCAGCACTGGCATGTGGACAGGGGTTAGCATTGGGACTAGGACAGCTCTGGTCCCAATGCCAACAATCAATTGCCAGGAGAGTGGATTCCGTGGTAGGGGGCAGCTGAGGGGCTCTGGCTCCTAGGAGCCTGGCAACCCGAGCCCAGCAGCCTTTACTGCCTCATTTTGCAGTCCCCATGGGGGGCTGCAGGCGAAGGTATTTAAAAATGCTGGGTTGCAGGAAACCAACCTGAACCCACACTTTTTGGATACCCCAGGGCAAAGGAAACAGGGATAGGGGAGAGACTCCCCGATCCCAGTGCCCCAAGACATTCTAAAACCTACACATACAGCTGGGCTTTCCTGGGACTGGGCTGACAATCAACTGCTTGTCAAAACCAGCACCAGTAGCCCAGGATCTCTAACTGACCAGGGACTGTCAGGGCAGAGTCCAACAATGAGCTAATTGTCAAACTCATCCCCAAAAACCCAAGTTTCAAACTCTCAGGTTGGGTCTGACAATCATCTGAATGACAGATACACTGCAACAGCCTGGGTTCGTGAACCAACAGTCAGCTGATGGTCAGACTGACTGTAATAGCCACAAGTCTGGAACCTACACAAGTCTGGGACTGGAGGCATCCCCATGTCTGGATCTCCAGGATCAAGACTGCGGCAGCTCCGTGGTGGCCTGATCGGGATTTTATGCTACAACCCAAACATCACACCTCCTGACATGAACATCTGGCAAGGCAGGAGACATCATGCTTGGGATGTAGCAATTCCTCCAGCAATTCCTCCAGCCCCAATCATGCCATTGTTTGAACATCTGCCAGGAGCCTATATGTCAGCGAATGAACACAGCCTTCTGTAATCACCATTAAAACAAGCATAAACTTCCATATATAGATCTGGAAGGCATGAAGTTATACGAATAGATAATGACCCATTTCATTCCACTACAAACTTAAAATATCCTTTATGGATGCTTTGTTTTGCATTTCATTCTAGTAGCTCTGGTCTGCTCCTTTTCTCCACCTCCTAACATTCAAATATCAGCTCTGCTTAATCTGCATACAGTTTTTGATAGTGCTAAAGGTAGGCTGCATTAGTTACAGAAGTTTTATCCCCCAAGTCTACAGACTTAAGTTGCACCAATACCCACTCAATTTAGGAGTTCCAAGAATGCTTCTAAGCAAGGTAAAAATTACTGATAAAAAATATGTTCGTTACCTTCTCACTTCCAGCCAAATCCACCAGATAAAGCTTTCCACTGAGTTTTTTTTCAGTTTCTACGTTTTCTTGTTTAATATTAATTAAGAAGATGCTGTGGCTTCTAGAGCTGTGTTCATTCATATCTATAGAGAAACAATATTTTTAAAAGGTTTTTGCTTAATACTACCCTTTTCAGAAAGTTTTAAAATATGCCAACATATCTGATGTTGTCATAATTTAGGATCAACAGGTAAACTTCACAAAATAATCCATATACATTTTGGACACCATCCTGAGGCACTCAGCATAGTCTCTCCACAAGAGTAGGGTTCAACATTTATGAAATATAGAGTGACCATTTATTTTCTCCCAACCTGGCCTGAAATTTAACCAGCTTCATGACAAATGACATGACCTTGAAAAAAATAAGTACCTAATTTTTCCATTAAATAATTAACACTATTAAATATTATATGAAAATAAAAAACTGGGGGGCTAAAATAAAAAAAAAATTAACATAACTTCATGAAAAAAGTTAATGAAAACCCAGGTGCTTTAGCAGAAAAACAGGCATTCTCCTACTTTGTTGGTACACCTGCACACATAAAAGGTAGAATATACATTTCTAAAAAATAAAAATGCAACAAGAAATAATAGCAGCATACTGGAATAAGGAATTTGTTGAGCTATTGAGTCTTGAGAGTGCTTGAGTGATAAGACATCTGAGTTGAGGTGTGTCTGTTTAACTTGATTTACAGTAAACATAATCCTGAAAAAATACACTTGAGATACGTGCAAGAATGTTTAAGTTATTATTACTGCTTATATGCCAAAATGAGAAAACCAGGAATAAAAGTGCTCAAATGTCTATACCAGGGTTGTCTAACTTCTAAGTGGCTGGGGGGGTGCATGCTTGGTGGGTTGCACCAAGACAGACCGCACGCTTCACAGACCACACCAGTGCAAGCCACTGAGCCCCTCCTCTTCCTCCCCCTACCACTCCCTGCTGCAACATGCGTTGGGGTGCCCTGACCTCACCTGCAGCTCTCTGGCCTTGGGCTCCCCTGCTGCACCACATTGTGCAGCCACCCTGAGCTGTGGTCTGCCCCAGGCACAGAGCTGTGCTGCTGAGTGTCTAGGATTTTTAAATAAATCTTTGGGGTGACTTACATGAAACATGTGTTACATTTTATTAAGTAATGTCCTATTATTTGACCAAAAGCTTACTATATTTATTCTATGTAACTTTACAGAATCCAGACATAGTTCATTTTGTTGAACAGATATATATCATAAATGAAACCATCACCAATGTTGTAAGAAACTGTTTTCACAGCAATAGGCAGCATCACATACAAGGGCAATTAGCAAGAGGCTTTAAAAAACAAAACAAAACAAAACACTAGCTTGACATTTTTCCCCCCAAAACTTCACTCTAACTATTGGCTTCTTAAAGAAATATTGCAAAGATTCCAGGTTAAGCAAGTTCCAAATCAATTATTTAAAAATATTCTCAACACTTTGTAAAAAGTATATCAAAAGCCATCTTTACTTCTTTTTTTTAATACCTTTCAAGTCAAAGTGCACCTTACCGCTAATAATGGTCATAATCTGACCAAATTTATTTGTAGTAGAGGGGTATGTGCAGACATTACATTTGATCTAACTAGGGTTAGATTGATCTAAATGCTGATCTTGTGAAGACATTCAAGAGGTTTAAATTGGGCCAAAAATAGTGGGCCTAATCTACCTTAGTTCACCTAGGCAATTGAACTAACACAGATCCAAAATGGGTTAGCTCAATCTATCGAATACATGGACACATTCAGAGAGCAGCCCCAAAGCCCTGCAACTTGCCCCAGCCCTGGGGCTGCATTCTTCCTACTCTCTGACACTGACGAGGTGCAGCAAATGTCTGTATGTTCCCTACTATACCTGGTGTAAGTACACTGAAATAATGCCCAAATCTGTTTCCCCAAAGTCAATGGGAGTTTTCTATCATTCAAATTTGGCACTAGATTGCAGCTTCATGTGCATTTGTTTTTATATCCCCTTTTTAACTATCTACAGGTATAATTTATTAGGCCAATATAAAAGGATCTCTCAGGCCTCAGTGATCACCATCAGAAAATCAATGTTTATCAAGTGTGGTATCTAAGTCAATGGAGCTATACCACATGCTCAAATTTGAGCCTGTGCTTGGTGTTTGGTAAATTCTGACCTTATTTCTGACTCTTCAGAACTCATATATAGGGTCAGGGTTTTGGGGTGGGGTTTTTTTTGTTTGTTTGTCTGTTGATGGTGTTAGTTGGTTATTGAGTTTGAGGGGTTTGTTATTGTTTTTGGTTTTGGTGCGGTTAGCTTTTTTAGGTTTTTGTTCATTTGTTTTAAACCCACTTGATGAACATCACTTACTTGTAACAGCTACATGGCGGTTGGCTTTTCCTTCATCAATAACATCCAAGACTTCTTCAGGACTAGAGACAAACCTCTCTGTACAGCCCTAGAAACATACAAATTCAGTATTTAGAAGCTGAGAAAACACACTGAAAAGATGCAAAGGAAAATATCCATCAGAACAGACAAAAAGAAACTCCCCCACTAATATCTAATATGATCATTCAAAAGATAATGAGCCAAATTCTGCACTCCTCAGGTAGAATTCTAGTTCTTTGTGTGTGTCTACGGCAGCTTTCTAGGTACATAAATGGTGGTTTTGGCACTTACGTGCAGGTAGCAATTCTAATTCCCCTGCAGTGTGAATGCATAAGCCTGTGCACATGGATCAAACATGTTCAGTAGGCTGGCTGGACAGCTACAGGCTATGTATGTGTGCCCAAATCTGGACATATAACTGCCTGTATGCCACAGAAATGTAGCCAACCAGAAACCCCTAACTAGCAGGTGTTAGATGCTGGAGGAGGAGGACAACTTCACCATGTTCTAGCCCCAAAAGCTGAGTGGCTAGGGCTCTTGCCGAGGAAGCTGGAGACTTTGGTTCTAAGTCCTGCCTTCTCCCAGAGCATCCCTCTGGCTTCCCAGCAGTGCTCTACCTACCATGCCTGCCACAGTTTAAGCTCTTTTCAAGCTGTCCCCTTTGACAGCCATGAGAAGGAGATTTGTGGGGCAGGTGGATGAACAACCTGGTGGGTGCTTACTGCTCAGTGCAGTGGCCACTACCTTAAAGGGAGATGACCCTTGGTTCTTGCTCAGGCTGTAGCTCTTGGGGCCAAGGGGGAGCAGAAACCTCCTCACTGTACTGTTCTCCATCCATTTTATCCAATGACTTTTAAATGTAACCACCTGACTTGTGGCATGGTGGTTGAGCACTATAAAGGAAAAAGCAGAAAAATGGAGGTTCAAACCCCCTCTGGGCAAGGGGGATTTAGAACCAATGTTTCCAGCTTCCTAGGTGAGTGCCATAACCATTAAGCAGTTGGGGGCTAAAACTTGAGTGCCCTTCTCTCCACACCCCTTCCAGGACGTGCCCATATATCCAACCAATGTATAGCTCTTCTATACGTAATCAGTCTATACGTGCATTTTTACACATCCTCAGCATAAACGTAGGGCCAAAAACAGCTCTAGACTGCTAGAAAACCATGTTAAGTTGCACAAAGGGAAGCAGAATTCCATACCTGTTGACTTCAGTGAGATTTTTGTGGCATAACTTTAGGGAAAATTATTCTCCCATAGGAGTAAAGGGCCAATATAATCAGAATACTTATAATAAGGAAATTTCATATAATCAGGACACTGCAGAATCAAACAATATCCATATGAGCCACTAACTCATATTAGTCCCCAGGGCCATAATTATTTTCTCATTCTCAACTTAAAAGGTAGGAGAAAATTGTTCTTCCTTCTACAAAAATACAGTAATGCCTATGAATTTATTTTGCCTGCTCCCCCCCCACCTCAAAAGAGGAGGAGGAAAAGAATCATACAATATGCTCCCCTTTTCATCAGAAATTTCTATTTAGTTATATAAAGTCTAAAAAAAGGAGCAAAAAGCTGTAAAGCAACAATTTATGCAAATTCCCCATGACAACATTAGCTTCGCTGGAAAACTATCAGGTCAAATAAATTATAGCATCTATGCCACTGAATATTAATGATGAGGAATTATATATTTTTGTTCATGTTCATTATTAAATATTAATATAAATGTTTAACTTTCATTGCAACTATAAGCTTTTAAAAAGCAGGAAAGTGAAGCAAAGAGAATAAAAGATTCAAGCTCATGAATGTTTCAGGAAACTGTTTAAATACAAGCATCATCATGAAAAAAAAACTACCCACTTAACCAAAACCTCAATCTGCCTTGGCTACCAAAATACATAAGAACAGCCTCATCTAATTCCTTCACATATTTCTTCTCTCAAAGCTACCTACAACAGGAGTGCTCAACCCCTGATTAATTGGCCAAATCTGGCCTCCAGTGCCTTGTCATCCAGTTCATGGGGCTCCCCACATAGCCCTCTGCGCTAGATTGGGCATGCAGGGCCAGGCGGATGCAGTACAGAGCCCCAGAGCCTGATCCCAGCAGGCAGGACTGGGTGAAGGCAGCACAGGTTCCCAGGTCCCCAAACACATAACATGGGGCTGATGAGGGCAGTGTGGTCCAGATCCAGGAATGCACTGTCCAAATCAACCCACAGACCAGCCCTGCACCACTCATTTGGCCCACTGGGCCAAAACATTGAGCACTACTGATCTACAAAATTCTAAGTATATTCTAAATATGTAAAACTCTCTTTCTATAAGAACATAACATCCTAAGATATGCCATACTAGGTAAGGCCAAGGGTCCATTCTACCCCATCTTAGAAAGGGAGTACATGGACACAGCATGTCTACTAGGGCTGTGTGAATCTTCGGTAGCCAATTAGATTCAGAGGAAATTTGGCCCAATTCAGAGACCGAATCTCCAAATCCGAATTGAATCAGGAGACCAAGTAAAAGCTCCAAATCGATTTGAAGCATCCAAATCATTTCGGAAAAGCTTCAGAAAAGATTCAGACAATTTGGAGATTTGGCCATAGACTAAACAGGCAGCTGACACAGCTGCCTCCAGCTGGTAAGTCTGTTGGGGTTGGGGAAGGAGGGAGGGAAGAGGTGTGGAGGAGGGAAGGATTGGGGCTGGAGCAAGCTGCCCAGCCGGGGCAGGAGGTGCATTACTCAG